AGCAAGCCACAGAAGAGCTACGTATACTTTATAACAAGGAGAAGATGCTGTTAGAATTTTTTAATTACTTTCCATCATGCCAAAATGAATTAAAGAAAGAATCTGTTTTCTCTCATAATTATGTTTTCATCTTTGTTTCTTCATTGGATCTGGCGATGCCTATTATCCATTTCTTTTAGATTTTGATTTTTTTTTTTTTGAATCAGGAGAGAAAGGTCAAGAAAGAAGTTTTCAGGATTTTTGCCCGATGAAGTTCTTGATACTCTCACCAGAGGTATAGTTTCTCTTTTCCTGCATTCGACCATTCCTTAACCTATTGTGATAGCTTTTCCTTAAGGAACTCGATCTTTCCTAAAAACTTATTTGATTGCTTTGTATGAGCAGAATAACAAGCATTCCTCTGCTTTAGAGTAAGTTTCTGGGCAGGCAGTTTGTTCACCTTTATATATTAGTTCCTAAGAGAGTTACATAATCTTTAATCCAGGTTATACTTAACCTGGTGATAGATTTTGTGAACCAAAACATAAAACGAAGGTCAACGAGTATGATTTATCCTGCTCTTCAGGTAGTTGATGGAAATTTTAGTTAGGGCTTCAAATACGAAGATCACAGTTTTTATTAGTAGTTTTGGTAAAAAATGCATTCCTACTATGATCCGTTGGTGTATGGAATCTCAACTATTTGATATTTTTGGTTATGGTCCTTTTTACGTTTTGCTTCAGATTCATTCAGCAAAAGCTAGGAGGTCCTTCAGTCTCTGACTATGAGAAGTGTCAAGCAGAGAAGTCTTATATTTAAATAAAGAACATTGAGATTTTGGCTAAAGACCAGGAAACTTTCATATAGGTATTGTTTCCTAACTTGAATTTAGCTTATCATTAAACCATCTATAGTTGAGTAGCACATGAGTCCATGCTTATTCAGTACCTTAGTATTATTGGCGTTGCAATTGCTTTCTTCACAATCTACAATCATAAACATATTGAGTCATCCTTTGTTTACTGAAATTACTTGAGACTATAGCCATAACGAGTTCAGTTATCAAGAGTAGCTAACTCTATTTGTAGCTAAGTTTTTTCATGGTCATTATTAACAAGAGTCCGTAAAAGTATAGAAGTGTCAAAATCTGCTTGGCACATCTATTTGTGGTTAATGTTATGGCGAGCTTGCCTTCACGAAAAAACTCTTCAAAAGAGCATGAAGACAAAGAGGCTATGAAGACGAGCACATGACCCTTTTGAATCCTCACCACTAAATTGTTTGTTGTATTTGCAGAGTTCCAGGCTTCTTATGATTACTGTCATTGTGTTTTTTTTTGTTCCAATTACGATCAATAACCATGATCTTATTCCTATCTCTTATGCCTAGAGTCCACATGATTCTTTGAAATTAATTCTAATTTGCTAATTTTAAAAATATAGTGGTATACATGTACGAGTTTATAAACTATTGCTATGTTCCATATATAATTCTTGCAATTAATTTGATATGCAATGAAAATTGTTACTATTCATTTCCCAAAACCATTTAAAACCACATTCTTGATAAATGTTATTAACGACTTCAGAAAATCCGTTTAGTTAAACAAGTAAAAAACAATATACAAACCAATAGAACATAGAAAACTAAACGTCATTAACAAAATAAAAGAAGCATGAGCTATCTTCTTTAATGTTGCAAGTATTTTTATATATATTAGCTTTAATCAGTGAAGATTATTTAAATAAAANTTAAACAAGTAAAAAACAATATACAAACCAATAGAACATAGAAAACTAAACGTCATTAACAAAATAAAAGAAGCATGAGCTATCTTCTTTAATGTTGCAAGTATTTTTATATATATTAGCTTTAATCAGTGAAGATTATTTAAATAAAAGAGAATAAAATAAAAAGAAAAATATTTATAATAAACAATCCGCGCGAAGCGCGGAAAAAAAATCTAATTATATTAAAACAAGACGAACTAAGTCACCTTTCTCACTTTAGCACGAATAAATGCCCACTATAGTAATTATTTAATGTTATATAAATATTTCATGTAAAGTTGGAGGTTGGATGACCGAGAGGTGAGAAGAGTGTTTATGAGAAAACAAAAGAAAAAAGAGACTATAAGCTATTAGGTACTATCAATCAATTAACATATTTAAGAACACTTGGTAAGCATTAAAATAGAACATAAGATAAAGCTTTGCTCTTCTAGGTTGAGTACAATAAACATAAAAATAATGATCATTCAAGCCTATAGCATGTCTATTTCGTCAATTATTTGAGAAACAAAACTCCAATTATATATCATGTATTAGCATGTGTCATCTAAAGATAACTATACTATAGATTTTTAACCACGATACAAAATTTTTTTTATTTTGCTAATAATTATTTTAAGAGACTCTTATTTTGATCACCAATCCATTGTGAGAAAAATAACAGTTTTATACCAAAAATAGATGATGTTTTCCATTCGATTATTCAGTCGAACTTATTTTCATGATAAAGCATATATTATTCCAACATATATGTATATAAATTTTCAATTTACATAGTTTTAGTGGAT